TTTTTTTTTTTGGTCTTTGCTCACAGCTCGAGCCAGGCCGGACCACCGCCGGTTCGCTCAAGTGCGGGATTTGGTGGTGCTCATGGGCGTGGCGCTCGGTGTTGTCGATGGTCCAGTCTGCGAGTGCGCATGGCTGCCTCGGGATCGCTTGAGGGTCGAGTGGTGGTGAAGAGTGCCGACGTCGTGCCGTCCTGTATGTCGTTAGTCTATACCGTCTTTCTACGTACAAGTGCAAGCAACTTACCATCACAGCAGGCGCGAACATTCTCCAGCCTGTCTGCTTCGCGATCTTGTCGCTCAATCATCTCGCGAACATCCTCGGCACTGTCATGCACCTCGCTCGCCTCATAGATGCTGTTGCCGTACTGCCCGCTGGCTGTCCGGCTGCGGAGGCTGGAAAATGTGCCCGAAATGACCTGGCTGTTCTTCCAGTACCCGCTGAGCCGACCAAGAGTTCCAATCGACGGCCGCTGCGGCGTGGCATTCTTCTGGTGAGTTGGCGTCAACCGGGGCACTTCCATCGACATGTCAATCGCCGGCGACTGGTTCCTCGTCGTTCGCGAATTGTAAGAAGACAGCGACGGGGCCATACGCGGCCTGATGCTGGGCGCCGCCGAGGCCGTAGGTCGCATGCCACCAACTTGGGGGTTGAACTCGTCGACGTCTGCCTGCGTAATGTGGCCTGCCATTTCCTCCGCGTCCGTCTGGCCTTCATCGTTTGTACGCAGAAGGAGATACGAGAGAGCGTTGAACCACGTCTCGTGCCTCGAGCCCGTCGTACAGGTGAACTTGATCTGCCTCCCGGGGGAGACAACAATGAGACTCTTGCGGTGCAGGCCAGGAGGCATCGGGTTGTCGTCTGTCACAACTCGGACGGCTTCGATGGAGACACTCTTGGCCTTCATATCGGCACGGCCCGCCGTCGAGGGGTCGCGGTCGCTCCAGTACAGAGTACGTGTATACGGGTGCACCCAGAAGTAGCGGCGGTGTCGGTTCTCAGACATTTGACCCCGTCCCGCCTTGCGCGTGTACTTCCAGAGATACTCGCCAATCATCGTCTGCGTGATGGCCTGAATCATGCGAGGATCCGTGTTGGGGCCGAAGCCTGTCGCGTCCACGCCCAGACCGTTCGCCCTGATGTTAAAGCGCGTATCGATCTCGGACGCAAACGAAGACACGGACGAGCGGCGACTGCGAGCCGAGGCCTTGGTCGGTGAGTGGATGATCGCGGTCCCGTGTGCCGCGGTACCCGTCCTAATGGCCTTTGGTGTCGGGGTGCCCTTGACGGACACGGGGGATTGTGGCCGGACACTGCTCGGGGTCTGAGGTCGCTGACCGCGCATGGCCGAGGCCGGCCACAGAGGTGGGCCCATGACGGAGGCGGTCCCAGGAGTTCCGTGCGCAGATCCGCTCCTAGCGGCTTCGATGACCTCCATATGGTTTTGCGGCAGCGGCGGCATAGGTTGCACGTTTGAGTTGCGACGGCTGCTTGCGCTGCCAGGTCGCTGAGGCGCCGCCGTGGTATCGCGTTGTGACTCAACAGACATGCGTCGGACACTGCTCAAGCTGGCTTGGTCTTGTGAGTAGCGTCGAATACGAACGGTGCCGGGTGTGCCAAAGCTGCTGCCCATCGAGAGGGACTTGTTGTGACTCTTCGACCTGGCATTGAACATATCATCGATGGCATCTGCAGTCAAAGAAGTCTGGGCTGATTGGTCCGACATGGACACTGCAGGCTTACGAGCAGGCCGAGACTCGACATTGGAAGAGATTTCCTTGAAAGGCTTCTGGGACTCGGGCGTGTCGGGGTGGCGAGACTCGCTTGGAGACTGGCGAGTCTCGTCTTCGGCGATCACTGGTCCCGCGTCGCCGCCGCTCTGCCCTCGGCCTGCAATGCCGCCAAACAGTGCGTCATCGGGAGTTCTCAGTTGATCGGCGTTGACAAAGGGCGACTCCATTCCTCGGGGGAGAATAAAGCCATCCCGCTTAGGGGTGCGAGGGGTTAACGGGCGCGTCTCGACAGAGTCGATGGTCGAGAAGGCAAACCGGGGCGACAGCGTGTCTGGGTGAGAAGGAGTGATAGGCTCA